ATGCTTATGTTTGTATAAATAGTGGTGTCTTCCTTTGAGAAGAACACACAAGAAAAAAATTAAAATAAAAAAGTACTTAAAAGCTCTCCCCATTCTTTCTTAAAGTCCAGGCATAGTTCCAGTTCGCCGGATTAGTTTCGGTTTTTCCGTTGTATCCTGGGAAACAGACGCTCATACGGGGCGAATCTGTTTTGAGGACACTGTGTTCTCACAGGCCTCGGTATATGTTATATAGCCATCTTATTTTATTTTCCCGTTAAAGTTCCCTACAATATATTCATATGTACAAGAGCTGGATTATAAAGAACATGCACCATCTTCTTATTTTTTTTTGGTAGCCAGCCACGGTATTCGGAGTTATGTCCAGACTAATCCATTGGTCGACCCGGGTCGCACACCTAGCAGTAGTGGGTGAGTCTCCCAACAAGGGTTTTCTGCATCCACAAGGACTCAAACCCGAAACCTCGCTTAAGCGACATCAAGCTGCTTACCATCTTCTTATTTGGACAAACTTTCACTGGCTTTCACTGTCATATGGAACTCTAACAAGCTACACTGTTTAGTTCCTGCCAAAGCCACAAGCCGGCACCAAAAAAAAAAAAAAAAGGGAACAAAATACCATACAATAAGCTATAAAAACCGAAGAAATCGAGTCGCATACAAAATTACATAAATTACACGATTTGGTTCATCTTCTCAACATTTTTATGCTTGTTGACAAACTTTCTGTTCTTGAAATTAGATAAGAGAGCTTCAGCCAATGCATTTTCCAGAGGCTCATAATCGTCTCGTGCACAAGGATTTGCCTACATTGTTCTTGTTTTGTTCGTTCTCTCCTCTTTTCATATGTTAAACAGCCTGTGAAAATTAACAAATGGATTAAGAAACTAAAGCATTTTTCAGATAGATGTTAAGTGTTATAATAGCCCAGAAAGGAAGGGTAGAAGAAAAAGAAAAAAAAAATTACATTTGGAATGTATTTCAATCCAATTGTTGGATTCGATTGCATCAACCTTTGAGCGATCGATCTCCCTTTCCTTCGATCAAAATTATGAAAAATAAAACATGATAATTAAATCGAGAGATTCAGAAAATGATAAAACGAACGCAAGACGAACATATGGAGAGAGAGAGAGAGAGAGAGAGAGAGAGATTTTGGTGAAACTCTTACTTACATACGAACACAAGAGAAAATATTGAGTTTAAGGTGGTTCAGACTTCATAATGTCTAATCCGAACATCGGATATTGAATATGAACTTTCCATTTTGGAAGATTTTATCCAAATTTCCTGCAGGAACCAGAATACCTGTTAAAGAAAGTGTCGAACAAAATCTTAACAACAAAAAATCACCCGTAACATTAAAGTTTAATCAAAATATATAAAATCCCATGCACCCTTTTTTCACTTTAGAAATTTGAATCCTCAAGAGAGGGTATTGACAGGTAAAGACTAAAGAGCAACCTCAGGGTAGTTTTATATTATGGTAAATCATAGAGGTGTTTTTCTGGACATAGCCCAGGTGCCCTGTCAAAATTGCATATTTGGCAATATTATCTATTTGTAGCACAAAATAAAATTAATAAATGTAGCGAAAACCGAAACTAATCCGTAAAAATGATATGTTTCAACCAAGAATACTCTTTTTGGCTAATGTCTTCGGCAAAAACAAGAAGCACCTTTCAGTCTATTGGCAAAATAAATTGAAAATACTTGTTAAACAAGATAGTTACAACAAGAAAGTTGAATTCATATGAAAAAAAAAATGTATACCTTCGAGAAATGAATTCAACACGAGAAATGTCGAAAATCAGCTCAAATTGTGCTATAACCCACAACTTTCCTCAACGATTTTCGATCGACCGAATTTCTCAACTTCTCAACCTCATCCCATCGGCCCTTATCCGCATACAAGTTAGAGAGTACCACATAATTGCTCATATTCTCCGGGTCGAGATCAATAAGCTTCTTCGAAACAAATTCCAAATTCTCATTAGCCCCATCAACATTCTTGCATCCAGCAAGAATAGCTCCCCATATCCTCTTATCAGGCTCGATCGGCATATTATTTGCAAATTCGAGAGCCTCCTCAATATTCCCTTGACGGCTAAGCATATCTACCATGCAAGCATAGTGCGCAAGTTTTGGCTTAATACCATAAGTCGTTTCCATTGCATTAAACCAGCTCCAACCTTCATATTCGAACCCACAATGGCTACACGCAGATAAAACAGATATGAAAATAACATCGTTAGGTTCTATACCGAAGGACAACATTTTCGAAAAACACTCGAGAACTTCCTCGCCACAGCCGTTGATCGCATATCCGTTTATCATCGAGCTCCAACATATCAAATCTTTTTTATTATTATTTTCGTCAAAAACCGCTTTTCCTTGTCTCGTTCTACCGAATTTGCAGTACATATCAATCAGGGCCGATATCAAATATGTGTTGGTTAAATATCCATTTTTCGTTATCTGTGCATGTATGCTTTCGCCACTGTACATAGCATCGAGTGAAGTACAAGCGAGTAATAAACTAACGAAAGTAAACTCATTAGGCTTCTCGTCAGCCAGTTGCATCTGTTGTAATATATCAAACACTTTATCAGGCTGCGTGCTTTGAGCATAAACCGAAATCATGGCACTCCAAGCAATAACATCTTTAAATTCAAGATTATCGAATATTTTCCTTGACGACTCAATATCACCATATCTAGCATATGCTTGGAGAAATTCAGTCATTAAGGGAACATATGCAGTCAATCCTGTTTTCATCAAAAGAGTATGAAAACCGTGATTAATATAATTCTTACCGAAAAGCGAATGAGCTCCGATTATTTCTTGAACTATACATTCATCCACTTTTTCCTCACCACAAGCTCGCAATCTGGTGAAAAACTCCAACGCCTTTTCCAAACTTTTGTTCTCAATACAGCCGCGTACAATTATCCTCCAAGAAACAATATCCTTACTCTCCATAAGCTCGAAAACCTTAAGCGCAGCCTCTAAACATCCACATTTCGAATACATGTCCAAAAGTGAATTCCCACAAACCGTATGAACAAAAAGCAAATTTCTAATAACATAACCGTGAATTTCTTTCCCGAGGTACAATGCAGCCATGTCAGCACAAGCAGGAAGCACGCTTGAAATCGTCACATGATTTGGCGGCATATTCGAAAAAGACATCTCCTTTAACAGCTTAAAGGCCCCCAAATAGTTTCCTTGGCCGACACACGCCGAAACCATAGCACTGCACAAAACCACGTCTTTATTTGTCGTCTCAAGATATAATTTCCACGCACTCGTCATATCCCAAGTAGAGTAAACACCGACGAGGGCCGTCACAACAGTCACCTGCGACGTAATTAAGCCCATTTTCACCGAGAAGCCGTGAAGCCCGCAGGCCAATATTATCGGCCCGAGAGAACAAGCAGCTTTTATCGCGCTCAGGACCGTGACAAAATTCGGCCTTTCGCCGCTCGCGAGCATCGACTTGAACAGACGTAGGGCATCTTCGGGCCGATTCTGCCTGACCAGGCTCGATATTCTCGACGTCCATGATCTCACAACGTCGTTCTCTGAGAAATACTCAAAAGGGTCCACTAAAATCGGGCGATTCCGGCGAATGTACTCGCGGGTTTTGGAGTTGGGCGCCGTTTGAGGAGGTGGGTTTCTCTTGGGGAATACATCGAACAGCTTGTGTGCACTCCTAGAGCGAGTCACACCCGTCATCATAAACTTTGGAGATTTGGATAGTTTTTATAATGCTTAGAAAATTGATTGTTACAATTATTTCATGTATTTGTTATGGAATTGTTTCCCAATGAAAAATAATACTTATATTTTGATTATTATACATTTTGTTTTTAAAATATAATATATTTTTTTTAATAAAAAGTATAAAATTTGTAAAGGAAATAATATCATGTGAAGTAGTTCTATTATTATTCACATTAAGGATTTGTAGGTCACCTGCAAGTGGTTCTCTCTTGTTTCGGCTTTAGACTTGGTCTATATTGTATTCAAACTTTGGTTTGATTTTATTTGAATAATTCTATCGTTCTGACAAAAATAAAAATAAAAATAAAAAAAGTAGTTCTATTGAATTTTTTATTTTTATTTATTTTTATTTTTTTGTCTTTATCCCATGACCTAACACAAGGCACGAATAGAGATAGTCTTATAACAATAAAGACCATATAGCATTCAAATGTGACTATCAACTGACCTACCAAATGTTGCCTAATGAAAGTCACTCTCACAAGAGCTTCAATTTTTTGTAGTTAACATGAGTTCAAAAAATTATTAAAATGTACAGAAAAAAAAAATTATTAAAAA